ATTAATGTAACTGATACAACACGTGCTCACGACAAACTTGTTAGCTAACTAGCTAGCTAATGATTGATCTATCTATGTTATTCTGTAGTAAAACAAGACTTTGTCTTAATAAAATGAGTTTTTGGCCAATACAAGAAAATGTGATAATATTGAAGAATATTTGTCTGTTCCTGCAGTGTTTGAGGTTGTTCAGAGTTTAAAGCCCTTTTATTAATTTAAAAACATGGAGTGGTGTAGATGGAAGGTATCAGTCTCACACTGATATCGTACAGTCTGACACAGAAACTTTCCACCCGACCTGCCTGCTGTTCAGGCCTGAGGGAGGAAACTGAGAGGAAACCCACACAGAACACCTTAGCAGGGATTCAGAGCCAACGGTGACAGAAACCATTACGCCTGACAGTCACCAAAACTTGTACCGATTCATTTTTAATAGGCTAAACTCTGCGGTGCTCAGTATTCATGCTGATGGACCAACCAGTCGTATTTCATGCAGAATTATGTAAAGAATGTGTGACCCAGGTCTGATATTTAGTGCTTTAAACAGTATGATCGCAGAGAGGAAGGTGTTACTGGATTTCCTGGAGTAGCAGCTACGCCGGCTGACAGGATTTGTTTTTGGTTTGAATGGAGAATCTCCTCGTCACACAGTTTAAATACTGCGACTGAGGCCTGTTCAAGCAACCGGACGCCCATGCTGGTGGCCTTCTCATCAGTCTCACTTCCTGCAAAGTAAACTTCAGCGAGCGAACATGAGTCACTGCTGATTCACTGAGGTTTGACCATCGACAGAGGGTCAGTAAATTGAATTGTTGTTTTTCTTAATTTTTATAAAAATGCCCAGGAGACAGAAACCCCTGTATGATCTAAAGTGTCATAACTAGTAACTATTAGTCACCTACACAAACTTATGAGTTTATAGATGATATTAATCACGACATCCAAGCATTTTCCTCTGTAGTACATTATGGAGGGATTCGTGGTGGTTTTTAGGCATTAACAGTGAAATGACATTTGTCTTGATTTATTAAAGGACCACATTGAGGTTTTATGTCTGTAAATGGAAGAAAAGCAGCTGAAAATCAACCCTTCTGAACCCCCGCCCCCTTTTACTCTGTGCTCCAATCACAGTTGAGCAAACCTCTGTACTTTCCTGTACTTAGATATGCTATGTGCTAGGCTAATCTGTGTCTCTTTTATATTTTAACCATCTTCAAAATGTGTTTTTCAACAAACATTAGCCTAGCACATAGCATATCTAAGGGTTGAGAATATCTTTTATTTTGTTCAATATTACAGTGGAGTTTTAAAAAATGATTTATATGTAAATTCCAACACAGTTTGTGGTGTATAAACAGTCTTAGAAATGTATTTTCATGAAGTGTATTTCAGCATTATGTTATGTTATCCAGACGTGTGCGACATGCATTAAAACAGCTGTTAGAGGCAGTTTTTATTTTGAATTCTCCAATCATGTGATGTGTTTCTGTAATGTGCAAGTCATGATTGTGATTCCTGTGAAATAAGCAGTGAGCACCTGTTCCCAACATTAATATTGTCACATATGGTAGAGTGTATGTATCTAATGGGCTGGAGCCTACATCCCGCCCCTTACCTCCCATTAGCACCACCAAACGAATCCAACCAAACCCTCCTACCGCTCTAATTATCTGGCACATATGGAAGGCCGGTACAATCAAAAACAACAACAGCACCGCTCATAAAAACTGTTCTGTTTTCATTCTGCTCTCCTGCTCGCTACAACGTACGGCTAACGACGGCTAATGTGCAGCCACGGGAGGATTTAATGACCCCGTGTGCACCTGTGCTGAGTGAGGCGGCTAATGAAGCACACCTAGAGAGAGAGAGAGAGAGAGAAAGAGAAAGAGAGAAAGAGAAAGAAAGACAAACAGAAGACTGAGAGAGAGAGACAGGTAATGAGTATTCAGGGGAACTGGTGCACTGGGCTTCTATCCTCATTATTGATTAATCATTAATTGTTTTGTCTATAAAATGTCAGAGGATATTAAACGTTGTTTTGGTCAAAAGTCGAACATGTGTAACATAAATGACAAAGAACAACAGCTGGAATTAGAAAATGTTTCACAGTTTAGCTGAAACAATAAATAACTGATTAATCATTATTAAAATGGTTTCATTTTCTTTCAGTCAGCTACTCATTAGCGTCGAGTTTGTTTTAGCTGTAAATGTTTTATTATATAAATCATTGTAACGTACTGAATTTAGAGAACATACTGAAAATGATCGTATCGTGATATTTTGGTATTTGAATGTTTGGTGCTTGTTGCAGTCAGAAAGAAGATACAGTTACTGTTTGGGAATTTATTTTGAAAAACTAAGCATATCTGTAGTTTCCTGTTAAGATAATGACTATATGGATACTTTATTTTGAAGGAACAGCGTCCTCCTCAGTTTTCAGTTGAGATACATTTATTTTCTGGAGATTTTGTTTTGAGAAAATAGGTGCTTCCCTTGCCTCCTTTTTATAAGCCATTAATGGCCTTTATTTTGAAAGAATAGCCTCATATTGAGTTTCCATTAAGATACAGATACTGTATAGAGCTCTTATTTTGTGGGAGGAACATCAGAGTCCACAGTGCTATAATGCCGGCGGGGTTCAACACTAAAATCAATAAATAAATATTGTGATATGGTTTAGATATTTACCTGTACTTTATCATATTATTATTCAGTGGTACTTTCCTTCGTTACCTCCAATAACGTAATACTTTCTGGGAATCATTTAAATGTTTGTTGATATTCATGAACACAATTATCCAAACATTAGAAGTTATTTCTGTTCCATAAGTTATCAGGTGGAATGTGACCAGCATCCTCAGAACCGCCAGAATCATTCCTATATTGTCCAAATCAGCCAAGCAGCTGCTGAATAATTGTCCATATAGCAGATTATGCTAATTCATGCTAAATATGCAGATTATGCTAATTGTCCAACATATGCAAGTTAGCATCTGTCAGTTGCTAAGTGACCCAAACTGAACATTTCTAACACAAAACTCTAGGGATGTCCGATAATGTCGGCCCTCTGAAATTATCGGCCGATATTCACTAAA